GGGGTAAGGCAGGGAATACCTAGGTTTCGGAAAGAGCCACCAATCCTCATCAGTTCCCTTGTTTTTGTCTGGGATATTCTCCCAGAAGTTATTTTAAAAATAACTTCTATGACAAAAAACATTTTTTACCCAAGTGACGAGATCGTAAGCTCAATAGAAGAGGAACCAAAGAATTATATAAAACTAAAATTCTTTTGGAAAGTCTTCTAAATCTTACAACCGCACTTATAAACATTTTCATCTTTCTCCACTTGTTATGCTTTCGTTCAACCTGAACGAAGTAGCATAACCATGTAAGTTGGTTTTGTCTGTTACAACAAAAACAACAAAAACTATTGAGCTTACGATCTCGTCACTTGGGTAAAAAATGTTTTTTTGTCATATTATTATCTTTTTTTTTTTTGAAAATTGCCATTTTTTGTATTCAAAGATCGACAGGGACGAACTTACAGCTTTTTACTTTTTAAAATTTATATGAATTCCTGACGTTTAAATAAGATTTAAACTATTGTACCTACTTATATAGTATATTTTAGGATTCATAGTGAAATTTTGCACAGAACTTTTCTTCCTTTGACACCTTTTGCCTAAAACGAAATTTTATAAAAAAAAATTTTTTTTGAACATTTGTGCTATTTTTTTTCTTTTCTTTGATTACCAATAGTAAAATTTTATGAAGAATATTTTTTCTTTGACGTAATCCTTCTAAAATAATGTTTTTCTAGAGATTTTTGCACTATCTCACGAGAAGGACGGCTTTTGCACAAACTCAGGACAGTTTTAACCCACAGTTTTAACCCTAAAACGTGTTTTTAATATATATAAATTAATTCCTGGCTTCTCTGTAAGATTTACATTCTTGACATCATCCAGGACCTATAGTAGAATTTTATGACAAATAATTCTGTACAATATTTTGACCTGCTGCGATTCCATTTAGAGCTAGTTTTTAATTATATTTTAAAAAAAGAACCAAAAAGACCCCATTGTTGACTCGCTTGAGGGTTAACATTTTTAGCTAACATATTCCTCATACTTTTTATCTGCAATATTACTAGGAATCTAAATTTGAAAATTTCCAAAATTATGGAAGAGAGCAGGACTTGCCCCCCTTATTTTGATTACTTTTCGATGTAAACTTTTAATGCGCCGATACACGTGTCTCCGTTTTTGTTTGTTCTATTTTCACAATCTGCTTGATTTTCCCTGAAATTACTGAAAAAATTAAATTTTGTCACACAATGTTATAGACAGTTAATATGAGGTTGAACCAGTGGAGGAATACTCCAGTCTTAAAATATGTATTTTTTTTTATTTCTGATAAAATTTTAGTCATATCTTGGAGTAGTATATTCTATATAGGATTCAAAATTTTGATTTACCATTTAACAGCTTTATTAAGTGAATTTTGGCACCAGTAGCTACTTAAAAAACAGCATACGAACCCTTTATTTTAACATGATCAATTATGGGAATTTATTTTTCCTTGTAATTATTTTAGGAATAGCTCATTACTGTTTAGTTGTCATTTGGTCTACTTGTAATGTAGAGGATATAAATTTGGCATTACTGGAAATGTTTAACGTGGTACATATGACATTTTAGCTGGGTATATTTATTAAAATTCTAATATATTATGATTATTCCAAATGTTGACCCTTTATGAGGGAGGTATCGAAGGGGGTCAATATTATCTATATCCTCACCTGACCTAAGTCTAATATAAAAATGACGATGTGTCAATTTTGGACTATATCGAGTACATCCTCAAAATTCTATGAGATATATAAGTTATTTTATTTTTTATTTATTTATTTTCATTATTTCTTTTTTATTTTTATTTATTTATTTTTTATTTTTGGAAAATATTGAAATTTTGTGGGAGAGTACATAAGGGACTATACGTTGTACAAGGTTAAATATACTTTCCAGATTAATGAAAAGGAACTAATAACTGTATTTTTAGTGCGGTAAGATCAGTTCGAGGATTTCTATTAACATAGTTTTTTTTTATGAATTACCATATTTTATGAATTACAACAATATTATTAGCCGTTGCCAAAATATTTTTCTTCGACACATAAACACTAACAGTTATCTACCTCTTTTATGGTATACAATTTTCATTAAATAAAAAATAAAAAAACATTTTCCTTCTTCACTTTCCGTTTCTAAGTATTCACATAAGCGTACATAATTATACACTTTACGCTGTTGGATATCTTGAATTCTCTGATTATATAATATGAAATTTTTTCCCAAAACAAAAAATTGTAGGTATGTATGTACGTAATTTAAAACCTATGAAGAAAGTTATCTAATATTTTTTTGGGTGGAAATTTTAAATCTACATATGGAAGTAAACTCTTGATTTTTACTAGATTAATAAGTGGGTATTTTTATTATATTTAATTACAACTTTATGGCCCAAAAATGTTAAGTTCATATGTGTGTGTGTGTGTAGAGGTATGAAACCCTAATGTTAATTAAGTTTTTTATGTTGTAAACTCTTTGGCTTTGAAAACAATTATCCATGCTATGGTGAATAAAAATGACATTGAACCGCGGTATATTTTAAAAAAAACGTTAGTAATTTCTGTAACAGTGGGTTTGAAAAATCAGTGAAAGTATGTGGGCAGTTATCTTAATTTAATAAAAAGGGGAACTTCTTACAAATTTAGAAGTAAGTGTAGTTTACACATTTTATAAAATTAATATTGCTATTAAAATTAATATATAATTTATTTTCGAACTAAATCATATGCTAAGTTCAAAAAGGAGATAGAAGAAAATTTGTGTTTTTAAAATTTGAGTAGTGAAACATTAAATATGGTAGGAATGATTTTCAATAAACATAGATACCTAGAATTTTTAATAACTATCAGTGCTGGGGAAATAGATTTCGGATTACTTTACAGAAGTTCCAAAAAATTAAAAAAAAAATGAATAACATTGTGCAGCAAAATTCATTTTTTCAATAGATACGAGGAAAATCCAGAAGGTTATGAAAGTAGAGGTAAAAAACAGAAAACACGTGTATCGGCATTTTGAAAGTTTACAACGAAAAAAATTAAAATAGAGGAGGAGAATTCCTACTCGTTCAGACTTTTGGGAAAATTTTGGATTAATACAGGTTGAGATGAAAAAACCTTCAGACTGTTGTCATTTCTAAGATACTCGTCCTGCAGCTGCATCCAGTATCCACAGGGTCAGATGAAAACACTGCAACCAAATTCAGACTGCTGTCATTTCTAAGCCACTCGTCCGGCAGCTGTTAAAATTATTCCAGAAAAAAAAAATTATTCGTAAAGGAATTCGGCTTGATCGAATCCGGCGTTGCAGTGGCCGAAAAATGGCTCGTGAGCTGAACATATCGCAATATTCTATTCGGCAAATATTGAAAAATGAGCTGGGGGTAAGGCCATTGAAATTCCAAAAAGTGCAAAAATTTACACAGCAACAGAAAGAAAATAGATATTTTCTCCGACAAAACATTCGTTGTCCAGCAGTTTGTAAACTAACAAAATGATCGTGTTTACTTGCCAAAAAGGTCAGTTGAAAATGTGCACCTTCGGTTGGCCACCAGAACTCAAGCGCCATGACCACGGCCATGGTGATCAATTCGAACAAATCTGAACTTATTCTAAAATTTGATGCTATTTCCGATAATTTTTTATATTACCCTGTACATATTCTTGATCAGCGTAAAATTATTTGATGATTTAGCCCTGTCCGTGTGTTGTAATCATGCTAGAGTCCAAACGGATTAGGATAGGAAGCTAAGATTTTGTACAGATCAGACTTTAGTCTGCAGGCAGTTTAAGTTCGAAGATGGGCTATATCGGTATACGATAACGGTACCCCCCGATATTCGGTATTTTGATAATTGTTGCCAAATTTTTCAATGGAATTGTCTTACAGCCCACACAAGAAGTTCCTTGTGATTACATTACCCCCTGGAAAAGAATTGTCTATATATCTCCACGACATGATATATCCCCTACAAAACGGTCCCTCCCGATATTTGGTATTTTGATAATTGTTGCTAATTTTTTCAATGGCTAGAATCTTAAAATCCTCACGAGGAGCTCTTTCTGAGTACTTTACCCCCTGAATGAGAATTGTCTACATAGGTCCATGTCTAAATATAGCCCCCATATAACGATACATTCCGATATTCGGTATTTTGATGATTTTTGCGATATTATTAAACGGATTTTTTCAATTTTTTTCCAATGGGTTCTGCAGTCTATGACGGAAAATTTTTCTATGCATGTCTTTGTATAGCCCACATATAAAGATACCTCCCCTTATTCGGTATTTTGATGATATTGGCGACATTATTCACCGGAATTGTTTCCAATTTCGCATTTGAAATTCGGACTCGTTACTACAGCATATGACATAAATTAGTTATGCAAGACCACGTCTTCGTATTTTTCAAATTTTTTTTCATTTTAAATTTTTAAAATTCCTTCAGAATGGTGGAGGGTATTAAAAGTTCGGCTCGGCTGAACTTAGGTGATTTTTTACTTTTTTTTTTTTTTGACACACATACATATACGACAAATAGCCTTAATAATGCAGTTTTCTCAGTGTAATCAACAAAAAATTCGCCTTGGGGTCAATATTTTGATACATTACAAATCAAATATCCACGATGATGATAGGAGGCTCACAACAATATGACACATATTGCAGAAAAAAACATACATACAAACATATGAATAATAGAATGACTAAGGTTTTTCTTTTTTGGGTAACCAATTACGAAAGGTTGACCAGCTTTGGATACTGTCACAACCACTTAAATAAACAATTATTTGCAATTTAAATTTTGGTCACCCTCCTTCTTTGCAACGAAGCAAGAAATGATGGCGTGAACGAAACCCCTTTAAGGCATATACTATGTATGCCATATTTGGTTATAAAATGCAGGCCAAAAATAAAACAAAAAATTGTTACAATTAAAAAAAAAAAAATGGAGCTGCAAAACTTACCTTGCTGCAATAATAAATATCCGACATCGTTGTTGTTGTTCGAGTTGTTAATTGGTCAGCATTAAAATGAAGCAAAACAAAAACACACAATGCACAAAAACAATAAGATTTCAATGTTGTTGTTTTTTTTTTTTTCTTTAAATTTTTTTTAAATTATTTTTATTTTGATTTCAAACTTTTATGGTTACTGGGTGAACTTGAGAAAATGCTTTCTTTCACTTTTCTTATTTATTTTGGTTTGGGTTTTCTTCTCCGTGACACTTTTTTATGATGTATGTAATTCTGTGATTGTTGTTGCTCTTGTTTTTTGGGACTACTTTTTTTTTAATTAATTAGTTTCTTGTTTTCCTTAACACAATTAATTGCCTCAGTAAATTTTGTGATTTGTTTGCATTTTTATTTTTGTTTTTTTTTTTAATTTTACTTGTGCGTTTCTTTCGCGGTTTACTTTTTAACGCGCCAGAATTTCCGCCTTGACTTGCGACGATGCATCCAACAGGGTCGTTGCAGAAAAAAAAATTAACTTTTCAAAGACGGCAACTTTCTACTTCAGTGGTGGCGCAACTGAAGTTTTTTCGTTTTTTTTTTTTTTGCCTCGAAAGAAAAACGTCTCTTTTTACTTGTCTCGGACACACAGAGCAGCAACTTTCCTGCCTTTTCGAGAAAAAAATAAATAAAACTAAATTTAAACAAACTCACAAACACTCTCACACACACACACGCTCTTAATGCACTTTTAAAAGCAAAAATACAACAGGCAACGTTGTGGGTCTGAATGGCTGGCACGCATGCGCACAAACCCAATCTCCACTGGGTTTGGTTTTTTTTTTAGTTTTCTTTTTCTTGACTTTGCCAAGCTGCAGTTTATTGCCTGTCGTGTCTGCCTGGCCGTGGTTAGTCAAAGTGGTTTTCGTGGTTTAAGTTTGCAGCTAACTTCTGTAACATGTTCTGCTGCAATTCCAACTAAGTTGGTTCGTTTGTTTGATTGTTTGTTGTTAGCTGCAAAGTCGGTGTTATTTTCGTTGGCTTTGTTTTTTTTTTTTTTTTTGTAAATAGCGCTCTGAGCGGTTCTTCGAAACAAAACAACGTAAAATAACACAACGTGTGACCACCACCACACCACAAATACTTCTCACATTACCACTATATGGTACTAGCGACTAGTGACGATGGCTGCAATTGCAACTGCATGCCTCCATTCAGTTCCATACAATGATGTTAAATGTGAGGCGAGCAAAATGTCAACAGCACTGCATTCAGCAAATAATTTCATGCAGCCAACAAGCATTCACAAACATACGTCATCATGCACACAACTTGCAATCAAAACAAAAAGACAAATCCAGCTTGACTGACTTTTTGATGGACTGAATGACATTCACAACAACCAGCACTACTACTACTACTACTGGTACCGCTCGCTGGAAACACCAGCACTCACTTCTCTCACTACTTCACTGGCACCCCAAATTGTTTGGCGATCTCTACTACCACCTCTCCGTTTAGAAAGGCAGTGCAAGACACAATCACGATCGCGTCAACAAGATATACGAACGACCAACCAATGTTGTTGTTGTTTAAACTTTTGTTTTTGTTTTGTCGCTATTCCTTGATTGTTTTTCAATGGCCAAACCGCAACATTTGTTTCGTTATTTGCATTTGCTGCTGACTATCGCCCGACAAAATACCGTCAAACACAACCGTCTCTTAGCCAAGTCTGTTTAAAACTGAATATCATGATCGTGGCCAAAGAAATGTTTGGTAGCTGCTATCCGAAAAAACGAAGCAAAATGTCTTTTGCTCTCCCAAACAACACAAAAGTCAAGCAACACACGCACACAAACACAAAGCCTGATTTTCTTCTCTCAAGCTTAAAGACGAGATGTAAACAACTGGTCTTGCTCTCTTACCTTTACTTTTTTTGGAGTATCTCACAATGTGATATTGGCCAAAGATAGTCATGGTTTAGATAAATTTGTGGTTGTTGTCTTGAATAAAGTGACTTCAAAATGCTTATCTTCAGCATGGACTTGGCGAACGTCTTGAGCTTATAAAAGTTGGTTATCTGAGCATCAGATTTGTAAAAAATGTATTTTTTAAAGAATAAATATCAATATTAAATTTCTAAACTAACGATTTTTTTAGGAATAATGCTGAGTTAAGAGCTGTATGAAACTCAACTTCATACTATATTTAATTTTGATTTTATATGGATTCAAAATTGAATATGCGAATATTTGTTGGTTTAAAAAAATAATAAAACTATTTCAAAAATTAAAAAAAAAATAATAATAATTGTAATACTTTAATGCGTAAACAAACAAATAGCTCGGTGTACAAACGCGTGAACATGACAGGAATAGCTGACCACGAGAAAAGCAGGAACATGCCAAATTTAGTCCGCATACACGAAGGGTTTGTCCTTCGGATTTATTAATTTCATAGCAAATGCCAAGCTGGCAGGAAACTGCAATCTTTTGAAGTTGAATGACATTTCTGTTGCTATCAGAGAATTCGAGGTAGCAACATACTTCCCCGTAATATTCGCAGCCTCAATTAAATTGTTGTACCAATACCATTGCAAAGGCGTTGTGGATTAATGCTTCTTAATAAAATCATATCCCAATCTGAATCGATTCCAATATATTCCATCACACCTTCCATATTTCATTACAATTGGTGCGTCAAATACGTGAAATCGGCCCAGAATATATATGCGAGCTATATCCACACCTTAACCGATTTCCAATTAATTTGTCAAATTTAGTTTTTCGTATCTCTGTCCGAACTTCATTGAAATTAGGAATACATAGCGTGTTTGGTGCATCAAATACATGAAATCCGCCGAAAATGTATATGGGAGCTATATCCAAATCTGAACCGATTTCAATTTATTTATTTTTCTTTCAAATTCCGTTACACATTTGGAGACAGTATCTGTAATCGATCAATAGATATGTGCATATAAAGTCTAATTTTGTGGGAGGTACCTTCGATTCTGATGCTATATCTCCATTTCCAAGTGGAATTTCAAACATTTATATAGCCTATGTTATTTGCAGGCGATGTTGTAGTATACTTGAAAATTTTCAGGAAAACCTTTTCAACCGTTTTCGACTCCATAAATTACAAACAAATAAACATACACACAAATATATAGATTGGTAAAAATATTGTGAAGTTAGAGGAATTTCGGAATTTCCAAAAACACCTCCATCAGTGACTTTCATTCCAAATATCAGAGTTTTAGTGCATTCCGTTTGTCCAGTACATAGTAATTAATTTTTAGTACTTTTCTTTCCAAAAACCCAGCCTCTTTACACGACTACGCACCAAGACTGACTCTCATGTCAAATTTCAAGATTACAACTTCAGACGTTTCGCCTGGGCGTTGATTCTAGATCAGACAGTTATTTTATTACTCTTTTATGTATATAGATATAGCCCTCATATTTTGGTATTCGGTTGTTTAAAATTCGGTATATAGAGTTTGAAATGAGCTCTGTCCTCTATGGTATAGGCCTACTGGAACAAAGCCGATACGGTATTTTGAAGCCTTTTTATCAACAGATTTTACGGATAATTAGTAAAAAAACACCATTTGGTGAGACTTTTGAAATTTTCAAAAAAATAAAATCCGTTAAAAATTCTGTTAAAATCTTAAAAATTCCGAATATAGCCGTTATATTGGGGTCTATACGAAGACGTGGACCAGCATGGGCAACTTTTGTCATAAGCCATTACAATATTCAAAAACGAAACTTGAAAAAATCCGATGAAAATATAGCTAAAGTCATCAAAATACCGAATATGGGGAGGTACCGTTATATCGGGGCTGTACCTGTACAGACAATTTTCTGTCACAAGACAGAACTTCAAATACGAAATTTCGGTGAATATACCATATATAGGGAGGCACTGATATATGGGACCTATACGAAGACCTGGATACGATCTCCCATCCCATTACAAACTCTGAATACGAAATTTGAAACAACTCCGACGATTAATGTCGCTAAAGTCACCAAAATACTGAAAATTGGGGGTACTGTTATATGGAGGCTATACGAAGACGTGGCCTGGCATACGAAGTTTTTTGTCATAGGATGTAGTAGCAGAACCAAACAACTCCGGTGAATAATGTCCTTAAAATGGTGAAAATATCGAATATCGGGAGTATCATTTTATTTGGGCTATATGATATCGTGGACCTCTGTACACATTTCTCTTCCAGGGAGTAAAGTGCTTGGAAAGAACTTTTAGTATGGATTTTTAGACAAGTCCATTGGAAGCTGGGGAATATACGATATCGTGGACCTATATAGACAAGACTCTTCCAGGGGGTAAAGTACTCACGGGGAAAAATTTGGCTACATTCATCAAAATACCGTTATATGGATGCTATACGATATCGTGGATCGATAAAGCCCATCTTCGAACTTGACCTGCCTGCAGACAATTGACTGATCTGTCCAAAATTTAGTTTCCTATCTTTATTCGTTTAAAACGCTAGCGTGATAACAACAGACAGGCGAATAGGGCTAAATTGTTTTAGAAGTTTACGCTGATCAACTTTGGTATGTCTTTAATTAATAAATTAATAACCTCGATGAGTTATAAACAAAATGACGAACTTAACATACCCTCCATACTATGTATGCTGGAGGGTATATAAATGGAAGTGGACCCAATATTCAATCCAAACCCTTTTTTTGCTAGATGGTATGAAAAGCTCTCTCCGGTCGGACTTAATGCGTTAATTTTGTTAAAAATTTTCACATATGTGTTTTTTGCCAGTAGACAGGTTAAGTTCGTAAATGAGCCATGTCGGCCCTAGTTTTCGTATAGCCCCCATATAACGATACCTCCCCATATTTGGTATTTTGTTGATTTTAACGACATTATTCAACGGAATTGTTTCACATGTCGTATTTGCAGTTTGGAATAGGTACTACTGCCAATTGAGGTTCGTAATGGATACTACAGTCTGAGACAGAAAATTGTCTATGCAGGTCAGTGACTTTGTATAGTCCACATATAACTGTACCTCCTTTTTTCTGTATTTTGATGATATTAGCGACATTATTAACTGGAATTGTTTCAAATTTCGTCTTTGCTGTTTGGAATAGGTTCTACTGCCAATATTAAAAATATGCTGGCCCACGTGTTCGTATAGCCCCCATATAACTGTATTTTCGACGGATTTTTTTTTTAATTTTCAAGTTCCTTCCAAATGGTGGATAGTATTAAATGTTCGGCCCGGCTTTGGACAAATCCCTTTTTAAGGATATTTGGAGTCTATATATCTGCATCGTCCCAGTCCATCATGTACCTCCCACAGAAAGGGTCAACATTGGGATAATTATAACTCTTATAAAATATGAAGTAAGTATCCGATTCTCTTTAAATTTCACATATCTCCATTTTTTTGTTAACAGAAGATCTGTTGTGAAAATGACATATATAGGTCTACTCATTCTGGTCCTCCCCACCAAAGGGTCAACATTTGAAAAAATATGAAACTCATAAAAATGAGAAACGAGCATCTGACTTTTTTCAAACTTAGCACATCGCAATATTTCTATCAACACATAATCATGTGTGACCACTCCTTCTAGTACCTCGCCCCAAAGGGTGACAATTTTGAATATTTATATATCTAATGAAATGCGAAATAATCATACATTTATCATACATCCCAATATTTCTACTAACATAAGATCTGGTGTGAAGATGGAACACTACTCCTTCTGGTACCTGTCCCACAAAGGGTCAATATTTTGAATAACATACAACTCATATTGAATTAACCATATGATTCGAATATCAATTCGAAATAACCATACGATATATTTCTACTAACACAAAATATGTTGTGAAGATGAGATATATCGGCTCCCTCCTTCTGGTACCTCCCCCAAAATGGGTCAAGATTTTGAATAACCAAAACGCTCATAAATGCAACATATGCAGTCGATTCCCTTCAAATTTCACACATTCCAAAATTTATATTAACACAAGTTAATAACTTTTTGTCGAATAAACATTACATACATTTAATAATTCTCAAATTTGCAACAGATTTTGAAATCAATATATTTATCTGTGTAAATTTTCACCTCCTATTTGCACGAAGTTTCATAAAGTTCTCTGTCAAACGTATGAAGACAAAATAGATGACCTCAATACCGCTTATCAAAGAGCAGCCCATACAAATGCCAATGACTCCGCCAATGTTTGCTAGAATTATAAAAAAAAATCAAATAATTTCATAAACTCCCCGCAAAAATGACCAAAACTTACACAACATCTGATACCAATTATACAAGACATTCTTTTGATAACGGGTCCCATAGGGTGTGGGATAATATATTTTTACCAAACTGACATCGTTCAAAGACCTTATGTTTGAGTGGCTGAAAGGCATTGGTAAATGATTAATGGATTTGGCACAATTGCTTATCGGACTCACATGTAATTCATGCTATCCGGAGTATCCTTCAAGCTGCTCTTGGCCTTGTAAAAATTATAACGATAATAGGTACAGGCTGGCAAACACTCAGGGCAACTTAGAGAGTCGATTAGTTCTGCTTCAAGATGTTCGTTCATCATCTCCACCGGGGGCTTATAAGTCTGCCAAGTAACTATAGAAGAGAAAATTAGAAATTCTTTACATCAATCGAACACCTTACTTCGATATCTTTCCAAACATTCGGTATGTTC